TCTCAAACGCTGACTATTTAGCTGACACCTAAGCAAATGTTAATTATTTTTTTCATTTATATGGACTAAAAAAACGATAAAAATACCCGTAAAGTCATCAATCAAGGGCATCTAGGAGCCTAAATTAAAAAAATTATAAGAATACTCATAATGTTATTTTAGTAGATGCAATATTGACAAATTCATCAAAATTCATGCCAAGTGATTTCTTTCCATTTGGAGATACCTTTAACAAAGATTTTAAATGTTTTTCGAGGATCTTCTAAAACCTTCTTAAATAGGCATTGAACCTAGGAATGAGATGCAACATTGCGAATGAAGTTGGAAAAGAAATTGAGCTATAGGAAACTTCCTTTATCGATTTGGATAATCAAGAAGATGCTTCCATGGTATAAAAATTTTAAAAAAACAAACGATTTAACTTGTTGTTTGGTCAGAATGACATTTTTCTGCTATTAAAACTAGAGCCTCAAGTGGAGACTCATCATCATGTGATAATCGATTAGTCTTCATAAAATTTTGCCTGGGAATATTTTTTAGTCCTCATCAACAAAAAGATAATCAACTTTTACTTAGGTGTCAATAAAATGATTAACGTTTGAGAGATTTGATGAATTAGTCATTATTGCAATTACTAAAATAATGTTACCATTTTTTCACTTCATGCTGCTAGATGCCTTGGCTAATGTCTGTATGATATTTTTGCCCCTTTTTTAGTCTACATCAATGAAGAAAATGGTTAACATCTTCTTAGATATCAACTAAATAGTCAACGTTTAAAGGATTTAATGGATTGATCACTCTTGTACCAACTTAGATGGTGTTATAGATATTTTTGCCCTTTTTTTTGCTTTAGGCTACTAGATACTTCTAACCAATGACTTTATAGGTATTTTTTTCCCTTTGTCCTAAATTAACTCTTAGACTATTTTTATTTAATTTTTTACACACTTGATATTTTTCCAAATACATTTTAATTACAATATTTTCACCATTATATGAAAATAGTCATGTCAACCTTATTAAAAACAAGGTAATGGCAAACTAAGATTTGAATTTTAGTTGACAAAAGCACTCACATTTAGTGCCCATCGTATCTCAAATAAGATTGCTTCTAATAGAAAAATATATATAAGCAACAAAAAAAAACATAGTGTAAAATGTATTATAGTTTATTAGTTCTTAGAAAATAAAATTTGTTACTTGAATGAATATGAACTACAATAAAATTTAAATAGAAAAATAATTTCAGAACATTTAATTAAGCAAATAAAGGTTGCAAACTAAGAAATAGTTGGTCAAACTAGGAAAATCAAAGCTTGAAAACTTCACATCAATAGGAAAAAGATGAGATTAATCCTCATTGATATTAGATGACTGGTTTTAAGGAGCCCTATCTGCACAAGATAAAATGTAGGATCAAATATACACCTTGCTCTCGGTATTAAAAACTCATCTGGGTCAAAACATAAGTCATCGTTAATTAATTTATGTTTCTTAACCAAATGTTGTTAAAATCTTGCTTTTTTTTTAATTTTAATATATCTCCAAACGTGCCTTTCTTGGAATCAACATATTGACAGAAATTGTCATCTTTTGAACCCCACAGATACTTTTGATTATTTTATTCAAACAAATGGGGAATGGAATTTGGCTCCCAGGGTTGTGGAAAAATCTAAAAATGGTTAAACATGGGATCAACAGCCTTAATGACTATTTCATTTGGAGAGCTTCCTATGATGGAAATTTCTGCGTTAAGTCTACTTACTCCTTCATACAAAATCCTTGGGATCATCATGTGGAACCTTCATGGAGGAAATTATGGAAGTGGCCTGTCCATGAAAAGATTAAGCATTTCTTCTGGCAAGTGTTCCATGAGAGAATTCCTACTAGTTTGCTTAGAGCCAAGACAGGAATTTCCTAAGTGAAAACTGTCTTTTTGAGCGTGATAATGAATAGACAATATTTCATATCTTGAGAGATTGTGGGCTTGCAAAAAATGTGTGGTGTTATGCAGCTAACCCATATTATGCCCAATCTTTCTTTTCTTTTGATATGCACGGATGGTTACGTGTTAACGTGCAGAACAATTTTTGAGTGAATACAATACGCATAATAAGTCATGGTTAAAGATTTTTTGCATTGTTTGTTGGTCATTATGGAAGAATCTATACAAAGGGGCTATGGAGGGGACGAGATACACAGCTGCAGAATTATATTATAGCATTCTTAATCAGCTTTCCAAAGTGGTAGAGAATGGAAACTCAAGAGAAAGATGTTTAGGAGCGTTGCGGGGCTTGAAGAAAGATGGAAACCTCCAGATCCAGGAAACTTCAGATTAGATGTGGATGGGTCAGTCAATCAATAAGGACACGCTATATGCGGAGTCGTTATTGGAAATGGAAATGGTGACTGGAAGCTGGGTTTTCAAAAGAGATTGGGCTTTTTTCCTGAGCTTCTTGCTCTCATTTCTAGGTTGAAATTATGTAAACAAGTTCAGCTGGACAAGATTCAATGTCATATTGATTCGTTAGAGGTCATGAGTTTACTTCAGACTAGCGGTGGTTTAGCTCACCCGCTGAGGCCATAATTACTAGAAGCCCAGAAATTGTTACATTGCAATTGGGAGGTGGAGGTTGTTTATTCAAGACGGGTAGCTGATTTTTGGCCAAAGATGCTTATCACAGAATGGACGATTTTTATCTTTTGAAAGTGCCCCCTTTTAGTTGCTTAGCTCGCTACTGGGCAGACAAATCTGGTGTAAACCATTAGTTTATTTCTATTTTCAGGCCTAGTCTGTCATTTTGCATGTTAATATGTATATGTAAGTATGTATGTATGTATGAATGCATATGTATGTATAACATTTAACTTGTTCAAAATGTTTTCATGTTCAAAATGTTTTCATTAATTACTCAATAAAACAAGAGTGTAGTTAGAAAATACTCCCATGAATTGTTCAATAGAAAAAACGTCTTACATTGGTGCAATTGAATTTTTATTATATATAAATACATAATAAAGAATGTAAAAGCATTAGTAATTGGACTAGACAAATTACAGTAGTGCAGTGTGCAGAGGATCCAGGTCAATATTCTCGTTAATGGGCCGAACTTATGTAGGGGTCGACTGCGTCTAATCATTATTAAAAGGGACAACGAATCCGTTGGCAATTAAAAAAAAAAACAGGAGGAACAAAAATCCAAGAAATGGGCATTGTAATGCCCGTCATCATACTCGAATGACGTACGTCGTTGTTAAACTTCCTCGAACCAGCGAACTTGATGATTCTAGATTTTGTGGCATTTCTTTCGTTAAATTTTTCTGTAGATTGTATTGTTTTCATTAAAAAAAGAAGAAGGGAAGAAATATTGAAGGAAAACTAAAAAGTACAGTACTGTTTGAAATTATTTTTATTTTATTATTTTGAGAATTGATATTTTATAAAATATATTCTAAGAATAAAAAAATAATAAAAATAGATATTTTTTCACTCTTTCTTACTTTACAGAATAATAATCTCATAATATTTAAAAGTTGTTTTTATTTTTTATTCTCCAAAATAATATTTTATTTTATTTTTATTCTTTAAAATACTTTTTAAAATACATTGTTAAATAGATTTTTTTTTCTTGTTTTAGAATACAAAAAAACTGTTTTAGAATAAGTTTTTAAATAAGCCCTAGATCTTTACACAGGTTTCATGATTGTCACGAGTAATATTTTTTTCTAAATGAAAAAAATATAAAATTTAGTAAGCACCAACGACCGATATTCACAAACCAGGATAAGGCAGCTTGTTTAAACTTTTTATACCGTACACAGGTAAAACAGATGTTGTAGTTATAAAAATACTGTAAAGGGAGGGTCAAATAACACTGATGGTCCGGTACCGTAAAGTATACAGGTATGATAACATGGCCGCTAAATCACCGAATATGGATTCTGGGTGCCAAGCATTAACCCTTCGTCCTGGACAGGGGAAAAATGAAGAACAGAAAATTTGGAAATTTTTTAAAAATGATAATAACAAATATTATCTTTACAAATTTATCCCTTCATTTTATCTATTCTCTATTTGTCTACTCATCACTTTTCCTACATCCAAAAGCAAGAATAAGAGATGAGAGTGAGGCAGCAACAATAATGCGGAAGCTCAGTTGGAGCATCTTGCATATATAGTAATACCATTACCATTCGTCCCAAGGAGGACAATGCCACAATGGTGGCGTCGACATTAAATGAAGAGGGTCCGGAGTGCTATTAGATATGTTGAACTTGAACCATCTCTTGGCCTCACACACATGTGAATATGCGAGCTTGTGCACACCCATCACCCAAACCAACAAAATAGAAAGAAAGCAACAAGCTTTGGTGTGTCCCCATGTGAATACCATTCCATGGTTTTATTCCCACCCAACATGTGACCTCCTCCTCCTCCTATTTCTAAGCCACATACCCTCTTTTCCTATCCCTTTGCACCGTGGGTCCCTTGCTCCCCTCACACATGTGCCCTTTTAATTCTTGTCCCTTCTCAGTCTCCTCCTCCTTTTCAAATTAAACCTCGTCGCTCCCATTAACCTCCCCATTTACTTCCCAGGTTAATATGCTGTCCTTCCTCCGGATAAAAGTTAAAAGCTCTCTCTCTCTCTTTTCTTCTTTAGCCTGTTACCTGTATGTAATATGGGGTATATAGCCATAGCCCTCCCCGGCACAATCATTATTCAAAATCAGATTTCCTTCCCGGTCAACAACACTTCCTCCTATGCATCTATCACCGACTTGTACTTCTCCGCTTGTCAGTGAATGTTTTTTCCCCCTCCCCACTCTCCATTTCATGCCCTCTTTTTCTCATTTTCGTAATCTTATTCTCCATACCAGCAACACGCGTTCATGTTCGCATCCATCACTGGTGCTAATAATTACCACAAACTATATATCACTTACTTTAACCGAACAACGCATGGGATAGATCGATATAATTAGCTACGAGACCGGAATTAGTACTTGGTGCAACCTGAAAATATTTTTTCAATTATTTTTCAGCGATAACTTTTTACGTACAGAAAGGAACAAAATTTACAGGCACAATTACAGTTGCTATTTACCGATCTAGAAGACTAAAACTCAAAATTTCATTTTCTGTGGACGGGAACAAAATGATGGGGAGTGATCAGAAGGGTACAACGACGACTTCGCTGCATGCAAAATCGTCCGAGTTTCCGAGGGAATCTTGCTGCGGCCACGAATCCCGAAGAAGCTTCAGCAGCAGTTGCGCCTTCCTCTTCGCTCTCTCCGTGCAATCGCTCTGCACCAGCAGCAGCAGCTGCGTCAGCACCCCCGCCGCCACCGCCTCCCTCCGGCTCTGCTCCGACTCCGAGCACAGCGACAGCAGCGCTCCCGCCGAGTGCTCCGTCGCCCGGTCCGATACCTTCAGGATTATCTTCACCAGCAGCGGTACAGTCAGCGCGTGCCCCGCGAACGCCTCGCACCCCGTCGGGATTCGACACAGCAGCTCGATCGTCGCCAGGGCCCTCTCCACGTCGCATTTCTCAAAATCTGCCAGCCGGTCGATGAGGATCTCCGGTGCTCCGGCTTTCACCGCTTTTTCCCGCGTCTCTTTCACCAGGCACAGGGCGAACAGCGCCTTGATTCCGATCTTGAGAGCTCGAGGATACGCGATTGGATTCTTCAGAATGTCGATGACTCCGTCGTAGATTTCGTCGATGCAGCTGATGTGAGATCGGAACTCCGACGAGCGAGTTCCGCCCACAACGATTTCGATGAGCGCGGCCGAGTTGACTCGGACGTCCATTGAAGTGTGAATCAGGAGACGCGACAGATACCTGATTTTATCCGGATCGGATGCGACTGACGTGCATTCCGACTCGACCAGTGGAAACATCACGAGCAGAGCGAGTGACTCGTGGTTCAGCTCGGATGAATCGGAATTGAGGTCGGAGAAAACAATAGGGAGGAGGATTTCGCGGACGTTGTGAGAGCCAATGAGAGAACGATTCTTGTCCGAGTCACGTGCGAGTCCCTTGAGTCGACGCAAGGCAGAGAGGCGCGATGGACTCGGAGCTGACTGGGAAGAGACTTGATTTAACAGGGAACGAACTAAGGTCGGGTCGGCGGGTTGTTTGGGAGTGGGAATACGCTCAATTCCGAAAGCCCGGTTAGCGACGCACCAGTCCTGGATGAGACGGCGAAGAGTGTGGTTGGGAATAAGGGTGAAATCGGAGAGCGGAGCCCGAGTGACGGGGCAGGTGGTGTTGCCAGTGGCGACCCATGACTCGATGCTGGCTCGGTCGTAGGTCTGACCGGTGCAGACGGTGACGGGGTCACGCATCAGCTCAAGCGAGATCGGACACCTGAAGTGGTAAGGAATCTGAATCCCCAAATCCAACGGCTCTAAACTCCCAGGCATGTCTGTCTCCCTCTCGATAAGATTTCAAGTTTGTCTCTCTGGGTGAGGGGGGGAAGTGTACTGCAAATAATACTAAAACTGAACGCTCTCTGCAAAATTCTCTATGTTAGTATGTTACTCTGCTTTCTCTTTATATGAGATGCAACAGAGGGACATACCCTACAGCGAGAGGGTGACTGCCCTCTTATCTGACTCCCCCTCCCCCACACGTGTGTGTGGTGCCATTTTAACTTGGGGCACCTAACCCTGGTCGCGGGCAGCGTGGAGGGGATTGGTCAAATCAAATGCATGGCCACTTTCTGGGCCCCACATTTGCTGTCTTTAAAAATCTTACTCCTGTTTCCATCAACATAACGTGACCTCTATAACTTTTTCTTGCTCATCGCCCCCTCTTCTCTCTTTTATTTTCTTTCGTTCCATGCGTTGCGTCCCTTTCCCCTTTGGATACAATACATAGCCTTTTCCTCGTTTATTTCTCTTGGTCTTTTCCTTTGACCCTACCTCGTTTGCTTTGCTTGCATTGCAAGGGGGTAATCAAAACTTTACACTGTTCTCTTGCCAATTGAACGTCATGAAAACACGTGTGTGCAGAAAACCAGTGTGTTCCAGCGCACCAAAAAGGAACTGATCGATATAATAAAATCGTTATTAATTAGTTGCATGAACAGATTAAAGTTATGATCTTGTCAAACTCATCATTTTAAGTGTGTGGAGATGAGAAAGTAGTAAGGCATTTTCCAAAAGTTACCATCGATTGCAAATGAAAGCCACGCTTTTCAAATATATTAATAATGAAAAGGCTGAATAATTAATTAACATGTCTCTCTTTGATTATTTAGATTCAGGCAGTTTGAAGCTTTCAATATCGTAAATTCAAGAAATTCCAATAAAAAATTAAATTATCTAAGCCTACACCTATTATTCCATTATATTCACATCAAAGTAAATCAAACAAAACTTTTTAGAAAAAAAATACATGCCTTTTCATAAGACATTACGATAGAAAAAATTTATTTTTGTGAGATAAGATATGGAATATTTAGTACACTCTTCCATATTACCCTTATTCAATGTTTTTTATTATGTTTCACGGTCATCTTTTTAAGAATATACTCTACTTAATAGGAATAAAGTTTGAAATTTTATCAATTTTAAGACATAGTTGATAAATTTAAAACTTTTCCTTAATTTTATTATAAATATTAGAAGCAAGTTATATAAAAAATAGAAGAAGACAGGAAAGCAATAGTATATGTGAAGTATAATATGAAAATGGATGTATAGAGTTGATAAGGGGGGAATATGAAAAGGGAGAAAAGAGGTTGGGGCGAAGGAGGGAAAATAAAAGGGAAATGATTAGGTTGGGAACTGTTTGGTAATAGTGAGGGGTAGTGGAGGGAGTCACAGGTCAAAGATGAACAGATTGCGAAGGAATGTGCGGGTCCAGGTTGTCCTCCACCTCTTTATTGGCGCCAAAGACAACTTTCGCGTGGATAACAATCACAGGGTGGTTGCTTCCTCTGTGGTCCCTCCGATGTGGACTTCCTCTCATTTATTCCTTCGCCTTTAATTCAATATCTCTTCTCTTCCTTCAACCCAATTTCATTTTATCCTTCCCCACTTCTATTTCTGCCGCAATTCTCTCTCAACAGCTCTCCAAAAACCTTACTTATATTAATTCTAATTGCTTCACGTTCTCCTACTTTCACGTGATGAGAAACTTAGTTGGATATTATATGGAGCTTCTTTTTGGATTCGTTAGACCCTACACATAAGTGGGTATTTTGCTCAAGTAGTCTGGCATTATTTAGGAGATGGATAATTAACTGTTAATAAAATTGATATATTTATGGATGGATCGAATCTGAAACGGTTCATGATTTGTTCAGAGTTGGATAATTCTCAAAGCCGGGGTTTCATCGAGTATAATCCACTGTGCTTGCATCGAAATTTATGTTGATGGTCCATGACCCTCAACCAACCATCCGTAAAGTAAAAAGGAGACGTAAGGTGTTAGCGTAAGAACAAAAAGAGAGAGCGTGCCAAAAGCAATTGAAACCGGAAAAGAAAAAAAAAGAAAGAAACTTATTCTTGCTTGTTAATAATTATTTATTTGTGGTTTTATTTTTCTTATGACTATCATGTCTTTAGATTAACACAGTTTGATCTAATCAAGGGTGAGTTTTCTTTCAAAACTGTAATCTTATCTAAGAAGAATGAAATACTTGTTCCAATCTCATTTGCAAATTATTTTAAAATGTTTATTTGATAAGTTATAATATAATTTTTAAATAATATTTAAAATATATTTTTAAAATTATCATTCATAAAATAAATAAAAGTAACATGACATATTTTGTTAATTTATTATGTAGAACATATTTAAAATTCTGCACACTTTTTTTTTTTATTTTTTTATATTAGTATTAATAAAGTTAGTAGAAATTATTTATGAAGAGAATTGGATGAGTATTTTTTACTCAATACTCTAATTAATTTAAAAAGCTATCTAGTCACGATAATATAATAATAAAGAATTGATTATAAAATACAAAAACCTGAAAATTATAAACAAAAAATACAAATATTAAAAGAACGGAGAGAAAGAAAAGGTCGAAGGAGTTTAAAAGCTTTGAAAGTGGACGCTGTAAAGGATATCTTGGAATAGCACTGTAGTATTTTATTTTATTTTTTGGGCGGATTGTGAAGGAAAAGAGAGAAGAATATGCTGGTACCAAAAAAAAGGAAAAATCAGAGAGAGAGGAAGACGGTGGGAGAAGGGAGGCGGTGTCGTTTTGGACAGGTGGGTGGAGGCGAGTGAGAGAAGGGGAGAGAGAAAGAGGCCCTGTTGTTCCCAGTCAACCGGGCAACGTTTTCTGCCCACTGCTGGCAACTTCTCTGTCCACTCACAAATAATAATAATAATAATAATAAAGTTCGCCGATGCACGTGCACATTGACACCCTCGCACGTGTTTCCAGCTGTCTTCCTTTCACATTTTCTATTTTTGACGCCTTTTCAGCCTCCCCCTTCCGTCCTTATTTATTAGAATCGCACAAAAAGATTGAATAAAAATGAATTTCAGTTTAATTTAAAATTTTAATTTTTTATAAAAAAAAAATTAAATTAAATAACTTATAGTTTGATCTGGTTCGTAATAATTTAAATATTAATAATAGGATTGAAAGACTGATTTTATTAGCCCAGTATTAAACTTATTTTTTATCTTTTTTTACGAGAGACAATAATCCATTTCAACTTAAAAATTTAATTAAAATAATAAAAATATTTTATAATTATAATAAATTCATAATAATTTCTAACAACAAGAGAAAAAAATTTCAATTAAAGTCCAAGTGGTCTCAATTATTAAATTTTAATATTAGTACGAACGTGTGAGGAACCAGATTTATTAAATTATTAATAATCTAATTTATTATATAAATAATAATAAATTAATTATAATCTTATTAAATAAATGATTAAAGTAAACATTTAGTTTTTTTAACTTTGTACAACATTTCATTTTTCTTATAACTTTATAAAGTATTTTGTTAATCATGTAACCTTAATATTGTTAGTTTCATCCCAACAAATTTTTACTTTGAACTTTCAAATATTTATAAAACATTCTTAAATGTTCACATATTGAGTTTAATTTTTTTAAAATAAAAATAATTGATGCAAAAACATAATAATTTGAAACTAATGATATCAAGGTTAAATGATTAAAAAATACTTTACAAAATTAAAGAATTAAATTGAAACCTTATATAAAGTTAGAACTAAAAGTATACTTTGACTTAAATAAATTTGATAGGACTAGATTGAATCAAGTGATCAAGATGCTTAGTCTTCTATTCAGTCCAACTCAAAAAAAATTTAATCTTTTTAATTTTTAATTCTAAATAACTATTTGTTAACAAGATCGAATATTGTCGAATCAAATTAGATAGAACAAAATTAGAAGATTTTCATAACTGTATTGTTGACTATAGATTCCCAAGCTCACCGTCCACCCTTACTAATCCCCCCCCCCTTCTCTCCTTTACAAGTTTACGAGTTTATTTATTGATTTCATACTTCTCCTAATTCATGCTTAGCGTCAATATCCTCATATAAGAGTAAAGATAAAAACAATTACTACTTCCTTAATGATTTCCCTACCAGATGCTCCATTTAGGGGTGGAGCTAGAATCTTTAATTAGAAGGTTTTTGGTGAGAGAGAGAGAGAGAGAGAGAGAGAGAGAGAGAGAGAAATTTTCATTGTTTACAAATGTGTGCGTGAGAGAGAGAGATTTTCATGTTTACAAATGTGTGCGTGTGAGAGAGAAAAAGAGAGAAATTTTCATTGTTTACAACACAGAACCAAGATAAATATATATATATATATAATATATTTTTTTAATTCGCTCATCAATTTTTCATAGTATAAATGTAATTCATTATCATGTTTTGCAGTAAACTTTTTAGTATTTTTTTTAATATAACCTATTATTAAATTGATGAAAAATTCATATTCCATAGCCATGAGTCAATATTTTTTTTTTTTTCCAGACATCAGTCTTTCACTGCTAAAAAATGTTGACTATGAAAATATATTATGTAAAACAAAAGTGAGGAGTAAAAAACTAGAAAAAATCATAACACAAATTGTACAATAAAATAATAAACAATGAAAGAACAAAGCACATGGAGATTGGAGTGATTTACTTTAATTTAACTTATCCTATCTATTTTGCTTAGTTGATATATTGTCAAGGTCATGAGATCGAGATTGTAGCTAAGGTCATTGATTCAGCGAGGAGGTAAAAACAAAAATGAAGGGAAGACCAAAGGCTGAAGTATAGAGGGATTGCTTTATTGATTCATCAATTTAGCGAAGTTTATTGCTTAATTGATAGTAGGGTAATGAAATAGTTTGAATATTTAACCATGGGCCGGCGCCAGTTCCAAAATTTTATTAGCATAGTATGTGAC